ATCCCAAGGTATTTTCTCCATCTGTTTATATTGTTTTTTCTTTCGGGTTTCTCAGTTATCTTATTAACTTGCATTTATTTGAATTTGGCACCTTGGTTAATACATTCTCAGCATGAAGATGCTGAAATGACTGAACTACCTCCTTTAAAGAGGATGTACTTGCGCCGAAAAGGTGAAAGAGGGTCTGCAATGCATGTGTCTAACAACGCAAGTCCTAGCTTCAGCAGCTCCATGTCACTGGAATCCGAAGAAGTACCACCAATCAAACTCTTGTCAGCTGATTCTGTAGTAGCTGACACGGACTCTTTTGCCGGAGCACTTATTATCGTCGATGATGAGCCCTTTACCGATCATAGGCCTATGATTCCAGGTATTGTTTCATGAAAGCAAGATAAAACTTATTAATCCTTCTTGTGTGGCTTTTATGTGCTTGTGGTTAGGTTTGTTGAATCCTTTGCATTGAAATGCAGAGAACTGTTCAGCTCCTGTTCTTGAGATGGAGAAATCAATTATGTCTGTGGAAGAACGGGATGGAGAAACCGACATTACTCTTAATAATACTACTGCCATGGACGTTCTTCCTTCAGTAACAGTCTCTGACATGGTTAAGGCGGGTGATGAGAGCGGTGCAGCTGATATTTCCATGGAGTTGGTTGTTGTTCCTGACTGTGACATATCTGCAGATCGCTGGAGAGCGCTTAGGTCCAAAAAGGACATCACGGTTGGTAAAGAAAATGTCGAGATACCATGGGTGAATGAGATCAACGACGAGGTTCCCTCACGTTTCCGCTACATAGCGCAGAGCGTTGTGTTTCGAGATGCTGCAGTGAAGTTCTTGGTCTCAAGTGACCCTGATGATGAATGTTGCTTCTCTTGTATTGGAGATTGCTTGGACTCTTCACCGATGCCTTGCAGTTGCACAATTGCATACACAGTTGATGGCGTTCTCAAAGAAGATTTCTTGGAAGCACGGATCTCTGAGGCCCGTGATCAACGGAAACAGGTGCTGCAATTCTGTCAAGAGTGTCCATTGGAGAAGGCTAAAAAGGAAGAGGCTTTAGAACCATGCAAAGGGCATATAAAGAGGAAAGGCATGAAAGAGTGTTGGATCAAATGTGGCTGCGGCAATAGATGTGGTAACCGATTGGTCCAAAGAGGGATACACAACAAATTAGAGGTAATAACATCACCTTAAATAACTCTCCTTTCATCTTAAATCAACTACAGTAGTTTCAAATTTTGATTCATGGTTTGATTTGATCAGGTGTTCTTCACACCGAATGGTAAAGGCTGGGGCCTAAGGACTTTGGAGAGATTGCCTCAGGGGGCATTTGTTTGCGAGTACGTTGGAGAGATCTTGACAATGCAAGAGCTGTACCAACGTAGCTTGGACAATGAACTTACTTCTCCTGTGATATTGGATGCACATTGGGGTTCTGAAGAAAGTTCAGAGGATGAGAAATCTCTTTGTCTTGATGGGACGCGTTATGGAAACATTTCAAGGTTCCTTAATCATAGGTAAAGGCTTACAATAATACTCGGACGACTCTCAGAGAACAATTGACCTATTTCTTTCTTTCTTTTTCTGTACATTGATGTTTTCAGATGCCTTGATGCGAACTTGATCGAGATCCCAGTCCATGTCGAGAGTCCTGATCAGCACTATTATCATGTATGATTCAATGGCGGTCTTATTTTATAATCCTTTGTTTTCATATGTTTCATCTGTTTTGTGGAAATGATTTGACTGTAATCCTCTCCAGATTGCATTCTTCACCACAAGAGACATCCAGGCAATGGAGGAACTCACATGGGTACGTAAAAAGATTGTGTTTCAAATGCTTATTGGTTCCTAGTGATACGTTGAATGTGATGTAACTCTGGACTTGTCATTCTCAGGATTATGGCATTGACTTCAACGATGATGACTGTCCGATGAAACCATTTGATTGTCTGTGTGGTAGCAGATTCTGCAGGAACGCTAAGCGATCAAAGAGTGAGTAATCATCACGAGATTTGCTGATTCTCGTTACCTGTGACTGAGTAATCATCAGTCCTGCATCTTACGTGTTTTGTTTTTATGTTTCAGAGGCCAAGAAGGTACTGAGCATAGCATGAAGAAGAAATGAGACAAGGCTCTCTCTTTTTTTGGTGAATGGGACTCTCAAGAAAGTTATTTTAACAAACCGGAGTGAACCATTCTTTTTAGGTTGTTGAAACGAAAAAAACAACTTGGTTATTTTGAGATCAAACTGTCTTGTTATGCTTGTCAGTTTGAGTATTGTTAGTTATAAGTTTGTAATATGTCACTTTTAACCACGTCGTTGTTGACTTAATTAGACTATTAAACCATCATAATTTACCGTACTGTTTAAGAAATAGTTACGAACTACTCTCGTTGAAAAGGAAAAAATGATGATACTGTCTTTGTTCACATGCATGGTTTGTTCATGTGAACGGCCAGCTCAGTATTGAGTTGCTCTTGAGGGATGTGCTTTGCCACTTTCTGTAACTATTGTATGTGTTTGTGTATTTAACTATTATTTTCTAGAATTTTGTGTACATATACGTATGTCCTTACCACTCACCAGCTAGCAAATGACAATATGACTGGAACACCGGTGTTTATTTATTAAAATTAAATTCCATGTGCTTCTATTCCCACACTCCAATCAATTTGTCACCATAACCTTACCATACCTCTCGAGATCTCTATGTCTCTTGTCCTTTCCTTTTCATGAATAGACCAAATTAAAGATCATGCGTATATCGGTATATGTTTGTCTAGTTTAGACTATGATGCAGATTAAACTGTTAGTTGGTATATCGTCTGGATCTTAGTTAGTACAGTGATGTTGCCATTTGCGTTGGAGCGTTTTACACGTAGAGTTTTGGTGTATGGCTAATTTCAACAACAATTTGATAAACTATTGCAAAAATGGAATTATACAGCTGTTTCTGCTATTTGCATTTTCCATTTTCTATTTTGATTGCATCGATTATTTTATTTCACACTACCATCCAACTCGCTTCGTGATTCAATCATTGCAAATCTCTTGATTCTCAAATTTTAATTTCCAATCTAAGATACCATATGACATATATTTATTGCAAATTGCAATGTGCTGATGTTAAAATACAATATACAATGTGGAATGCCTTTTGACAATTACATCGCCACTAATCGAGGATATCAATTGTTCATTTAGTCACAATTCTTAGCTTATTCTAAATTATCCACATCCTTTTTTCTTTGTTCCGCATATTAAGCTAAACTTTTCATAATGTTGCCTCTCTTGAAAAGTGATCATCTGTATTGTAAAGATAAATCATATGTTTTGGACGGTTAACTCAAATAATATTTCATATCGTGCATCGATATAGCGAACAACGTCAAATATAAAATTGCAACCAAATTATTAAAAACGAATGAAACAACCAAAAAGTTGGATTCAGATTTATGTTTCTTTTATTCCTTTATTGTTAAAGGCCACTTTGACTCTTTTAGTTCTACCTATAAAATCCTCTTTACATACGCACACACATACACACTTGTGATCAGAATCTCAAGATCCCAAAAAACCATTCTTTCAGACATGGACCGATCCATGTTTCTTTCTCTAGCACTAGCCTCACTCTTGATCGGAGTCGTCTCAGCTCGTGACTGGAACATCTTGAACCAGCTCAAAGGACTCGGTTCGTCGTCGTCAAGCAAAGACGTTGTCGTCTCTTCAGTGCTCTCGACGAACCTGAAACGTTACTGCGAAAGCTGGAGATTTAACGTGGAAGTTCACAACATCAGAAACTTCGATGTGGTGCCTCAGGAGTGTGTGTCGTACGTGGAGAAGTACATGACATCATCGCAGTACGAGGATGACGTGGAGAGAGCCGTTGATGAGGTCACCCTTCATTTTGGGAGCATGTGTTGTAGCAAGACTAAGTGTGATGGCATGGACGCTTGGATCTTTGATGTTGACGACACTCTTCTCTCTACCATTCCTTACCACAAGAACAATGGCTTCTTCGGGTATATCTAATTCTCTAACCTACCCGGTTTCAGATAACCGGTTTGATCAGCTTTTGGCTTTAATTGATCTTTGTTTTGTCATGATTATGGAATTAAAAACAGAGGAGAGAAATTGAACTCGACGAAATTCGAGGGTTGGATCAAGAAGAGGAAAGCACCACCGGTTCCACACATGGTGAAATTGTACCACGAGATCAGAGAAAGAGGCGTCAAGATCTTCTTGGTCTCTTCCCGAAAAGAATATCTCCGATCTGCCACCGTCGACAACCTCATCCAAGCCGGTTACTATGGCTGGTCCAACCTCATCCTCAGGTACAACTTAAACCGGATATCCAAAAGAAAATTCGGTTCATACATTCTTTAAATCGAGAAAAAACCCATAGGAACCAATAATTTGTAGTTTCATATATTCACTCAGATTAACACGTTCACCATATAAGCCAAACCTCGAGTATTTTTCATATATTCACTCTAATTAGCCTAAAACCGATTTTTACACCCTCTAGTAACTCATTCTGGTTTACTCTAACCAGATTAAATAACCGATGTACTAAAAACCAAGAAAACTAAACACTGCAGGGGACTAGAAGATGAGCAAAAGAAGGTGAAACAATACAAGTCAGAGAAGAGGACATGGCTGATAAGTCTTGGTTACAGAGTTTGGGGAGTTATGGGAGACCAATGGAGCAGCTTCACAGGTTGTCCTCTTCCGAAGAGAACCTTCAAGCTCCCAAACTCCATCTACTATGTCGCCTGATCAAAACAAAACAAAATTTTAATAAGAGAGCAGTTTTGATTCTGATCCTTGTTTTTGTTTCCCTTTTTTGTGGCATTTTATATCAAGAAACTTAATGGATTTATGGAACAGTTCCAAACAAACAAATAGTATGGTTATATGTCACAGAGAGAAATCAAATCAAAATTAGACGCAATCAACCAACGATTCACAGTACCAAGTGTTGAACGTGCAGCCCTATAATTTATCTTTGTTGTTCAGAGCTTTCTCCAGTCTTGCCTCAAATGGTGTTGAATGCCAATTCACGCTCTTATCCTGCACTTCCAAAAAAACTGTCATTCTCTAGAAACAAAGACTCTTGATTGAATATTACACTTGTGACAATTTCAGCAGTTGGTTTTGAAAGCGCAATGGAATCAGTATAGGACATTGTACTGGTTTATATGAACCTCTCTATATTTGCTGGTGGTGTTCGGTATTCCCTTGAATGCAGATGGAGAGTCACAGTCTATTGCCTTTACGTGATTACCCCAGTAACCACCAACTGTGCCTATAATAGGTGTCTCATCGGGACTCTTGCTAGGTGATTTCCTTGGCGTAGAAGTAGCCGAGTACCGTTTGACCTCCTCCATTGTCAATGCACATAGTACAGGTCTATCGTCATGGCTGAGTATAGCCCGCTTCGAGTAGCAGCTAGACTTGGTTTTCTCGGGTGTGACAGAGACGCTGTTGCATTCACTACCCGTCTCAGATGTTGATAACCAGGTTGAAAGGCTAGCATCAACGGCTAATCCTTCGTTTCTCGGTTTCTCGGGTTCAATCTGAGTCTCTGCGCTGAGAGAAGCAGAGTCCCTCTTGTCTTGTTGATCTGAGATGAGGTTAGAGTTCTCCTTTTCAGACTGTTTCTGTATTCTTTGCCCTTTGGATTTAGCAGATTTCCACTGAGTGAGATTCTCAACGGGGCTAAGTACTCCTTGAGCATAGTGGTTTCCATCTCTAACACTCTCATTAGACCCTCTCAACTCTGCATCAGTCTCCTCTTTGGTTTGGTTATGCAACGTATCCTCACTAAATGCTTCATCACTACAATACTCTTCTTCCTCTTCATCTAGAACGCCTTCACCGCAGTCTAACTCATCATCCTCTATTTCATCATCGCTTTCTCTGCAACTCTTGTATCTGTGGTTTGAAGGATACGACCCTGAAGAGTTTGAGGCAACCTGACTGTTCTCAGAAGAAGACTGACAAGTCTTGCTTGAATTTAGGGACATCTCATCGGGTTTGACCTCTTCTTTATCCTCTTCCAGGAGTTCAACAGATTCTTGTAGCACAATGTGTTCATAAGTTTTGACTTTAGAGTCAAAAGTGACTCTCTTCCTATTAGGACTTGGAGTGCATTTCTCTTCATCCTCGTCACTGAGAAATCAGAAATCAGCATACGTTAAGCTAGAACAAAGCTCAAAGCTTGAATGTATGGGACAAGTACCAAAAAATCATTCACACTCACCAAATATCAGTGATTGGAATCACAGAGTTTTTCGGGATTTCCTCAACTGTAGGGACTCTATCATTCAGATGATCAGGTTTTGCAGATTCCACTGAAAGTTTCTATTAAAAACAAAAAAAAGGCTTTTTTCGGGTCAAGCAAATTAACGGAAGTTAAATTGGATAAATACGAAAGTGATCAATCAGGAAAGTAGCGTCATTCAAACAATTCACGACTTAAAAACTGAAAGATGGGAGGAATTCAAAGAAAAGCTCTCACAATTTACTCAGGAAACATGAGAAAGACTTACGTTTGCTGGAGCCTGATCAGATTCTCTACGTTGCTGACGCCGGCGATTCTTCCGACCACCGAAACAACCCAGAAAGCAACCCATAATCCCGATATTTCAATGCCTCGCGAGAGATGATGAAAAATTGCTTCGTGGGGTTTCCAGGTTTTTGATCAGGTATAAATGGGTTGGGTCACACATCGAAACTAAGGAGCGGGGTGTGGTGTGGTGTGGTGTGGTAGGGACGACGATCTGAGCAGAGCGGGGGGAAAAAGCGTCAACTTTGGAATTGGGATTTAGGGTTTTAATAATGCTTTGTTTAGCATTACTTTTCCTCTTTATTATCGGATTTTGATTTTTTTAATAGTGTGGTTTGGGAAGAAAAAGTTTGTGACCGTTACAATTTTGACCCACCGATGACCTATCAAAGCTTTGGGAATCTGGACCATTGCACACCATTTTTGTTACAAGTTATCTTTCATTAATCCGCGAAGACATTCATTACTTGTCATTAATTGGTAATCCAATTTTTTGTAAGTTATAATTACGTGAACGAGATTCTTGTTAATTTTCTAGTTTTATCATCAGATGAAAGAATTTTACTTGACTACAAACACGAATTTGTTTTGTTATCTTACAAGCATTAGAAGAAAAGAAAACAATCTGAAATAAACACGAATCTGAAACATGTCCTTTGTTACTTTCTTTAAATTAGCTTATCATAGGATGCAACTTGTAACCGGCAATGGACTCCAAGAGCCATGTGTGACCAACGACCTGAGATCCTGTTTTGGTAGATAAAGCTTCTGCTTCATTTGCTCGTTCCCAAATAATCGTCACTTCTTCACCTAAGGCACATCCAGGTGGAGGATCAATGTTGTAAACCACCATCGTTTGCGGATTGTTGCTGCTTTCTGCAACAAGCTCATCTTCTGTTTTCAAGATTGTACCTCCAGCGACTTTGACCAGATTCTGAAGGTCTTCTTTGTATCCTTTGAAGAAGTCTCCAAAGAAATACAATTTCAAGCCATCAAAGAGCTTTGGTTTCTGCTTGACAAAGAAAATAGCGAGTGAGAATAAGTTCCTAACGAAGCACTTTCAAATTGTTTTTTATTTGGTATATACAGTATGTATACTTACATTAGTTGCTGCTCTGAGTCTTGCGGTTTTAGGTCCATCTTGACATCCTAGGGTGTCAATATGAATCTCAAATGGTTCTTCATCAACAGGTTGAGAAGCTTCAAGGCTTGCTATCATCCCTGGAAACAATCGCAGTTGTTACAGGTAAAGATAGAGAGATACCTCTTAATGGTAATAGTAATGAGCATGAAAACTTACAGTCTGCATTGATAATCCATTTTCCATTGAGAATACCCATGAGAACTTTCAAAGTTCTTGTGCAAGCTCCTTTCTCGTCTGTAGAAGCAATCACATGTGTAACACTTGGGTTCCAGTATCTTGATATAGTTGCATTGTATTTAACGGCTAACCTTTCCAGCAGGCACTGAGGAATAACAATGCAATGAGCAAATTAGTCTTTTTGTTTGCAAAAGCCAAAAGTTACCAACTTTGAAGCAAAAGTGGTAAATCCACAAACAGAGGGTTTCTTGTTTGAGTATATTGTGGTAAGAGAAACTTAGTACTGACCTTGTCACTCTGAGAGAGTGCTGATCCACAGAGAACAAGGTCTTTTGTAATAGCTTGGGGGTTTTCCAGATAACAATGCTCAGTAGGATTTCTGAGGGAAAAAGGTAATGAGATTTATTAGTTAGTATGAGTATCATATGAAGAACAAAGTCAATACTGTAAGTCTAACACTATATGCTGAAAAGGATTTCATACGTTTTTGGAAAGGGCTCAGCTCTTGACATGCGATGTCCAGACTTCTCGGTTGGGAATTTGACAGCAGAATGAATCGGACAAAGCAGAAGAAATTCTTCCTGTAAGGACCAAGAAAACAGTCTCACATTAGTATATTACAGTTGGAACTTCGGTAAGTAATAACTATATGTAAAGAATGTGGCAAAAACATACATAATCCCAACGGCATCTGGACATCTGCCGTGCACATGGAACGTGATAGCTCCGACGACAAGACTTGACATAGCAGCCTAAGGCAGCACCTTTCAGACCACACTTAGTGCACTTGATTTTCATGCCTCTTGCAAGTTCTGATTTTAGGTTCTTCACTGTGTCAGCTTCATAGTAAACTTGTGGTGCCCTGATCATTCATTCAACTACTTTAGTGTTTTCATCATTCAAAAATATTTATCAGTCTTGCCTAATTCTATACACATGGACTTGCAGAAAGAAATATGAGCAACAGAAGAAGTTGGGTTTCAGATTGTATACCATTCTATACATGCACTATGGACATGAATAACATTGGAGCCAAAGATGTCATCTCCAAGCACCGGCCTTCCTCTGGAGTAATGCAGCATTTCCCCAGTGGCCTAACAAATATAGGTCTAGCCTCTTGAGTAAAACTTCAAACAAAAAAAGAGCTCAATGTTTAAAGCAGAAATCGTGGCAAAGACTTTTACCTCAGATACCCTAGAGGAATGGCAGAATCCACATATGGTTATGGTTGTGGGTTTTCCAATTAGCTGATCATCAGAGTTTGCAGTGCAGATGTCATTGAACTCAACATTTTGCATCAGGTTCTTCTGCTTCTTAAGGACTTTCTGATGATTTTCCATGGCTTCAGAAGCAGTGATGTCACACTTTCTTTTTGCAGCTTGTCCTGTATAACTTTCTGGCAACTCCTGTAGAAAATGATTGACACACATCTTAGTTGGTGTGATTTCAAGGACAGAACAAAAACTCGGATAGCTCAAAAACTGAAGTACACCATGTTTAACAAGCCAATGTGTAAACAACTACGCATATCAATTCAGGAACTGGCAGATGAATGAAAATGGTCAACTTATGATGCAAGACGAGAATGCACCTGATGTTTCTGTGCTTTTACATGATCATTGTCTGATTCAGGACGAAAATCAGATGACCGGAGGCTCTCCATGAACAGCCGCACAGACTGATCCTGAGGCTTATGATTTGGATCGTTTTCTTGTGAGTTTGGACGCGGAGAATCATCATCACCAAAAATTCGCTTCCTTGCAGCCTTGTCAAGAGCAGTGGTGTCACTCGTACTTTTTACAGCTTGTCCTGTGCGACTTTCTGGGGTCTGCAACAGAAAGAAGATCAATACGCATATTTACATGTTGATCACTGAAGGATAGAGTATGCTCTTACATGATTGCCAGCGTCATTCTCTGATTCGAACTCATATGATGGGAGATGATCGAGCTTCTTCTGCTTAGTCCAGTCCTGACGGTTAGGTCTAGGATTGCTTTCTTCCGAGGCTGGAAGAGGTGAACCACCGTGACTGGGGGAATCACTATCACCACCACCACTACGCTTGATCACATCCCTCTCAATCATCTCTGAACCTTCAGATCCGCCGACTTTTGGGCTGTTGGAGTTGTTCTTGTAGTTGCAACCATTCAGATTCTGTAATTGTGGGAGCTGGACACTGACAGCTGCATTCAAGCTTTTGTATATGTTTATAACACTCTCCATGAAAGGAAGATTTCTCCGAGCTGCACATGAGTAAAATAAATCACACAGTTTTTAACACGAATCTTTACAGAAAGAGACAATACGACATGTCTCGATTCCATGTTCAAATGCACACACTAAATGGGCTCACCCTTTTTGGGATGTTTAGATTTGCAAACAGGACAGCCTGATTCAACTTGCGACGATTTATGTATACATGAACTGCCAAATCATTTGCCAGAAAGATAAGAATCTATTTGAAAACAAATATGTTATGTGTACACAATATCAGAGAATTAAGTTAATCTTACTCGCAGAAGACGTGATCACAAGGAAGCAACACCGGTCGATTAAGCAATTGCAAGCTGCAAGTGAGTACTCGAGTGTTACGATTCCAGAAACACCATTAAAGTAATTATTTATGAAAGGAAGGATTAGATGACGAACCAAAGAGGGCACTTGAGCTCGAGACCGAGCTTCTGAAGATGAAGAACCCATGGATTCATCAACATCTTGGTCAAATCCGTCATTAGTGTACGGTCGGAAACAGATCTAACAAATGACGAAAGCTGGTGAAACCGAGGAGAAGGAGAGAAATGCACTTTGTCGTTTCTTCTCCGTGCGATTGGTATTTAGCTGGAGGGTTCCAGGACACGTGTACGGTCGATATAAAATGGCGGGAAGAAAGGCGGGGAGATGCTGATTTTGATTACGCGGGAGAAATGCAAATGAATTAACGCCCGCTTGTTTTTTCCAAAAATTTGAAAATTTCAGTTTCGAGGCCCAATAAAAGCCCATATGTTTGTTATAGTTATATTGTATTTTTCATTTTTCATTATAGCCACCACGTAAGGGTATATTTGCAAAGTGAGGACGCTTCCAAAGAGTATTCAATTCCACCTTTAAGGAGGAGGTCCCCAACAACAAACGCTTCTCTCCTCCCTCTCTCTTCCCTCTCTTATTACTTTTCCTCCTCGACTCTGGCGATGAAATGAGACGTAGTTAGAGAGACAACGAGCGATGGAAGCGGATTTGAAATCGGTAACGCCTTCCTTCACCGTCCTCGCCGTCCTTTTTTTGATTTTCAGTGGCGGAGCGGCGGTGGAAGATGAGACCGAGTTTCACGGCGACTACTCGAAGCTGTCGGGTATAATCATCCCGGGATTCGCGTCGACGCAGCTGCGAGCTTGGTCGATCCTCGACTGTCCATACTCCCCGTTGGACTTCAATCCGCTCGACCTCGTATGGCTAGACACCACTAAGGTACGTGATCTTCATTTCCGCTGTTTACTTCTTTCGATCGACTTCCTTCTTCATGAATCCAAGCGAAATATTGCAGTTAAGCTTGTCTCATATCCTTTATTGACTCATTATTTTTTCAACATTTGACGCATCTTGTTTGTTTTGTTTCCTTGCTATTCCAATAATTATTGTTGATCGTTCAAAGTAGTAATTAGAGGCGAAGAAAACGGCCGACTCTGCGAGTCCTTTTCATCGCTTTTGGTTTGCTAAATCTAGCGACGACGAATGTGAAATTAGTCTTCGAATTTTACTTTTACAACTAGATCTGCAACTTTTTCTAGGAGAAGAGTGCTCAATAGTAGTTAGAAATCTCTGGTTATTCGTAATTCGAAAATGTACCAGTCGTGAAATATGCCAAACATCGTCTTCCTGTGCATTGTGATTACTCATCGACGTGATTGATGCTTTACAGCTTCTTTCGGCTGTCAACTGCTGGTTTAAGTGCATGGTGTTAGATCCTTATAATCAAACGGATCATCCCGAGTGTAAGTCACGGCCTGACAGTGGTCTTTCAGCCATCACAGAATTGGATCCAGGTTACATAACAGGTAATTCTGACTTATTCTTCTTTCTTTAGAGTGTTCAAGAATTTGAACTCGTTTTGCTGTGATGGTGCTAATAAGTAAATTAACCTACCATGGATTGTTCTTCAGGTCCTCTTTCTACTGTCTGGAAAGAGTGGCTTAAGTGGTGTGTCGAGTTTGGCATAGAGGCTAATGCAATTGTCGCTGTTCCGTATGATTGGAGATTGTCACCAACCAAATTAGAAGAGCGTGACCTTTACTTTCACAAGCTCAAGTTAGTCATCACCAGTTTGATGTAGTTTTTCTTTTTCGTTTTTTCTGATGTAAGATAAGCAAAGAACTCTGCTCTTCTTCGTTTTGCAGGTTGACCTTTGAAACTGCTTTAAAACTACGTGGCGGTCCTTCCATAGTCTTTGCTCATTCTATGGGTAATAATGTCTTCCGGTACTTTCTGGAATGGCTGAGGCTAGAAATTGCACCAAAACATTACATGGAGTGGCTTGATCAGCATATCCATGCTTATTTCGCTGTTGGTACTGGCCTCTTATTTTTAAGCTGCCGTTTTACTTTTCCTCTAAACTGGATTGAGCTCAATACCTGACTTCTTGTTGATTTAGGAGCTCCTCTTCTTGGTTCAGTTGAGGCAATCAAATCTACTCTCTCTGGTGTAACGTTTGGCCTTCCTGTTTCTGAGGTTGCCTCTGACTTCTTTTTAGTAACAAGTAGTTAATATCTGCCTGTTAGTTTTGCTAATCGAGCTGCTGTACTCGATATGGTATTAAATTGACTAGTTATCAAATAACATGGTGTGGGTAATAATACAACCGAACTGCAACATGTACACAGATTTACTTTTCGGATTACTACGGTAGATTCCTAGTTGTGAAGAAACTTTTACTGAGATCTTTTGAAATCAATAGGTTATGATTTGTTTGTTAGAATTATGTGACATATTGACATGCGCCTTTCATGTTTTTCGTTGGCAAGGCTTCAGGGAACTGCTCGATTGTTGTCCAATTCTTTCGCTTCTTCGTTGTGGCTTATGCCATTTTCAAAGAATTGCAAGGGTGATAACACGTTCTCGACGCATTTTTCTGGTGGTGCTGCAAAGAAAGATAAGCAGGTATACCACTGTACTGACGAGGAATATCAAACGAAATATTCTGGCTGGCCGACGAATATCATCAACATTGAAATTCCTTCCACTAAGGGTAAGACTTGATATATCCATCTGTAACTGGTATATCCTCATGTCTCGTTTGATTTTCTCAAACACCAACAAATTTCTTAGGCCTTGATGCGTATCCATCAGTTACAGAAGCATTTCAAACCAACATGACCAGCATGGAATGTGGTCTCCCCACTCTATTGTCTTTCACAGCCCGTGAACTAGCAGATGGGACTCTTTTTAAAGCAATTGAAGACTATGACCCGGATAGCAAGAGGATGTTACACCAGTTAAAGAAGTAAGTACCTTTTTCTGTGATAAGCAATATGCTCAGCAATCATCATTCATCACTTTGCTGGCTCCTTGTACTTCAAGATTTTTGTTTAAATCTCTACATCAACTTTACGTTTCTAAATATGAGAGAATGGTGTAGTCACAAGTCTTTGTTTTGACTTGACTATCAATGGTGTTCTATCATTTATGTTATGAAATGTCTTTGTTTCTTGCATTTATGAATGCAAAAGAAGATACTTCAAGATTTTGATTTTCACATTGAACATTTATCGTTCATTTAGACTCTGGCACGGAAAAATATATTAAATTTATTTGCAAATCTTTGCCAATCTTCTAAATAATATTACTTTATTTTGCAGGTTGTATCATGATGACCCTGTTATGAATCCTCTGTCTCCTTGGGAGAGACCACCTATAAAAAATGTATTTTGTATATATGGTACTCATTTAAAGACAGAGGTATGACTGCATTCTTCTAGTGACATTATGCGTTTGTTTTGTTATTATAATCCCCATTTTATTTTGGAATATCCTCTTTTATTTGTGCTCTTGTCTTCTCCCTTTCATTTTATGTTTTTAACCGTTATAGATACTAAATGTTTGAAGCTCTAATAGGTTGGTTATTACTTTGCGCCGAGTGGCAAACCGTATCCTGATAACTGGATCATTACGGATATCATTTACGAAACTGAAGGTTCCCTCGTATCAAGGTATATTCCTGCAACGGTAGCTAGTAAACAGGAATCGCTAAAAATTCTTTATTTTTAAGCTTAGTAGATGATCAGCGCCTAACAGCGTTAAGAGGTGTGAAACTCTTGCATGAAAAATGAATTACAACTAAAAAAACAAAATTAATTCGATTCTGAACTGAAGTGTAGTCTTCCTCTTTATTTTTTGTTCAAGAAAAAACCACAGTGTAGCTCAAATCTTCATGCTGTTATCTGCAGGTCTGGAACTGTGGTTGATGGGAACGCTGGACCTATAATTGGGGATGAGACGGTAATTTTAGATAATTTTGTTGTGAATCTTTTGAAATAATATTTGCTTCTGGAGAACTGCTTGTTATGTGTTATTATAATGAGATCTACATGATTATCAAATTTATCACTTATAGGTACCCTACCATTCACTCTCTTGGTGCAAGAATTGGCTCGGACCTAAAGTTAACATAACGATGGCACCCCAAGTACTCTTCTAATTCCCCATCTTTAGAAACTCGTGTTTTCCACTAAAAACATGCTACCTGCATAGATTAATCTTTAAATTTAGTTTTCTGGTTATATGTTGAGTCGCCAACAATTCGTTCTTTTGAAAAAAAACAACAGCCAGAACACGATGGAAGTGATGTACAAGTGGAACTCAATGTTGAACATGAGCATGGGTCAGACATCATAGCGAACATGACAAAAGCACCAAGGGTTAAGTACATAACCTTCTATGAAGACTCTGAGAGCATCCCAGGAAAGAGAACTGCTGTCTGGGAGCTTGATAAAGGTGAGTAACAAACATATGAAAGATTCTCTCTATGGTATCTTGCATTGGGTTTTTAACTTGTTATTAATCATTTTTCATGCAGCAAATCACAGGAACATCGTTAGGTCTCCAGTTCTGATGCGGGAGTTATGGCTTCAGATGTGGCATGACATTCAGCCTGGTGCAAAGGCCAAATTTGTCACCAAAGGTACACAAACAACAAAAATTATTGGCTCTTGTATCATTTTGCATTGCTTTTGGGGTGTAAATGTAGATGAATTCTTTGTCACAGCCAAGCGCGGACCACTTAGAGATGCGGATTGCTATTGGGATTACGGGAAAGCTTGTTGTGCTTGGCAAGAATATTGTGAATACAGGTTTCTTCACTCTCTCCTCTTCCATCCAAAGTTTCGTGTCTATTACTGAAATCTGTAGTACTGATTTTGGTTGCTGTATTATTGTGAAACCTAATGCAGATACAGTTTTGGGGATGTTCACTTAGGACAAAGTTGTAGATTGAGGAATACATCTGCTAATATGCTGCTCCAGTACATATAGATTTCCTCTTTCAGGTCACATTAATTCCCTTTTTGATCACAGTCTTTTTATCATAAAACATGCGAATTTCACACACGAAAACAAAACTTTAACCATTTGATCTTCAACTTGTTTTTTTTCCTTCTCTACTTTGATTTGTTACAGCAAAGGACCATTCCTTCCTCTTCATTTTTCGCTCCCTGAAGAGGAAAAAAAAAACAAAAGCTTCAAAACGGTCAATTCTTATTGCTCTCTATTTCTACACTTTTGCCGTCTCACACAAATGTATTCTTTTGTGATTCTTTCCTCTTACGAGCATATTATATTTTGGGTACAGCTAGATTGCAGTTCTTTCGAATTTTACGGCTTAGGTAGTAAACCCATATTGAAAACAAATTAGTATATTTGTTAAACTACAATTGCGATTTGGTCTTTTCCGTAAAACCGTTTTATAAAAAAAAAGGCAACTAAGTTTTTGGTTGAACATGAATGCTCGAGTGTTTGATTGTTTCAAATGTAAGCATGTGAGTTGGCTGTTAATGATATAACCACGGCAATTTTCTTACAACATCACCGAGTAATTTACTAGATATGTAAATAACAGAACTTACTTTTCCTTTTGATATACTTCTTTGATATCTTTATTTATGTGTGTAAAGAATTTTATGTTCTATTTTTTTATAACTACAGAGAATATCTACTAGTATAATATAGATAGATTTAGTTACAGCAAGTTAAAGTAATTATATAAAAATAATACTAAGATGTGAAAATTTTACTTTTTACGGGTTACGTATTTTTTATAGGAAATTGAGAAAGAGAACAAAGCATAATTAGGTAGGAGAATTAAAGTGCTGAGTGGTTTGATAGTTTGGTTGAACATGAGTTTTGAACTTTAGTACGACAGTTAATACTTTATATATATCGATATTAAATGTTTAGTCAATTTTATGGTCCCTCTCAAATTAAACTCATTTATTTATTTATTTATTTATTCCCTAATTTGCATTCCTTGATAAATTTTAGACATGCGTTATTTTCGTGTTATTTTTATTTTTCCTTTCATTTGTCTAAGTTTGGCTTTATTCTTCCAGTCAATTGGACGAAAGAAAGCAAAACTTAATGCTTAGCTATCCAAAATCCAACAAATTGCATAATTTCACTATGGTATTGTTTTGTTATTGCCGTGATAGTATTTGACTCTTTTATAACAGGATAAATTTTAAAACAAAATTCAAATTAATGACACTATATACAGAAAAAAACTCAGACCTGGAATTTGATTTTCTAAATACTACTAAAGTTTTGTCTTATATTTGTCATTTCTTTTTTTTGATTTCTCGCCATCGTTGAAATTTTATAAAGGTGCTAATAAATAAATGAAACGTAAACGAGGAAAAAGTCTAACCATAATCAATTTTCTCTCTCCCTTATATTTAGCGTGTGTGCGCATCTCTTCATTTACATATAGCCACAAATAGAAAGGGAAAAATTAGTAGAGAAAAGAAATAGGAAAAATAATTGTATTGTCGATCTTGTGTTACACGCATCAAAGTTACATGGCTTGTATGATAAATAAATGATATTTATAAATGTGGTTTGATCACCAAAAAAAACAAAAAAAGGAATTGAGCTCGTGCTGGAAACACTACGCAGTAACAAAGTCATGGGACCAATAAATGTCGCACAGTGAGTTACTTTTGCTCGAATTACTGATCAATAGTTAATTCTGAAAATGTTGATGAGTGGTTTGTAGCCTAAATCTGGAAAGAAGAGGTTCATTATTACTAGAAGGATATAACCCATATTGAATTTAATTTGGAGAGGTTTTATAAGCTTATGCTAAAGAAGCATATTTTTAATAAATTTGATTCCTTGTGTAATCCTAAAAACAAAAGGTCCATTCAGTCTATTTATCTTCAATGGTAACCCAAATCTGAAGAAACGGTAAAGCAAAAAAAGGGCAATCCAGTCAATAGACATTGAGTGGCATATTTGTAATTTTGAAGAACGTTAAGGAGAATCTAAGCCTCGGGCCTCTATAAATTGTCGTAACCTACCCATTCCCTTGAACTTTCTGTTATCCCTTCTCGATCAAATCTCTCTCTCTCTCTCTCTCTCTCTCTCTCTCGACGCTCCGATTTAATTCTGTCGCCAAGAAAAATAAAATCTCTCTATCACCTTTTTTACCCAAATACTTTGATTTTACTGTTTTACTACGGTTAATATTTTCATTTTTAATTGGGTGCTGACGTGGCATGCACCCGATAGAGAAGCACCATGAACACCAAAACGATGCGTCTTCCACCACGTCGCGTTCTAACGCCGGACAAGCGCAAAGAAAGAGACGGCGTCATCTCCTCCGTCGCCGAAAAACCGCCGAAAATCGCCGTGACCAAGTTTCCGCCACCGCCGAGTCTTAATCCTCCGCCGGTTAATTCCATTTCCAGGAATTCTTCAATCCCAGCCGAGTCGGTCGGCTCGAACCAGCTAATTTTAGCCGGTTACTTGAGTCACGAGTTTCTTAGCAACGGCACACTCTTCGGGGAGCAATGGAATCCGGCTCGAGCCGAAGCCGGTTCGATCGAGCCCAAGCAGTTAAAGCTGAGCCATGATGTCGAGCCGACTGAGGAAAATGAGCCGAAACGGAAGAGGTTTGTGGAGGTTGCTAATCTTCTCCGGGCAGATGGGGCCCACTTGCCCGGCATCGTCAATCCTGCCCAGCTTGCCCGATTTCTCAAACTTTGATCGGTTTAATACGGTGTACACGTGGTGACAAATCATTGGTTCATCGTCCGGCAAGCAGCCCAGTCCCAAAACCGGAGCCTGCCCCTTCCTCTCGTCTTCCCCTTTTTTCTTTTTGTTCAAATGTTTTGAAATCCTCTCTGTAGAGCCGACTCTTCATCGTCTTCCTCGAAATTGGACTGAGGAAGTTTAGGGTTTGTTGTTGAGGTAGATGTTCGTGTTTTGTACATCAGAAATATCAATCAGTCAATGGATCATATTTTGAAACCAGAAAATTGAACTCCCCTGATTTTACCTTTTTCTGTAGATTTTGAGGTATGACAATGGATTCTTTGCTCATCAATCTGATGTATACATGACGCAGAAAAAATATCAAATTTTGATAAATCTTCTCTAACTTTTGAACTTCGTCGATCCATCTTAGATTCGGAAAATGCTTGTTGAGATGCAATCAATCTCCGATTTCGTGCAATCGGCGATCATCATTTTCTAGAAGCCAGATTTTGGTAATGACACGGTATAGGTCAATTATGGATCTTAAAAACGCTCTATGCAGCTTATGAATACACTTAGCAGATTCATTTCGTTTGTGTTAAGAGGAACCCGATGATCATTCCCTGTGTTTCGAGTCGAAATCGCTGACAATTTTGTATGCATATGCTTGTTCTGTGGTAAAGCCTAGATTTTGTTCGAAGCAGAATTATCATCATCTTGGAAGTTTTGGCTAATCTACACTGCTACTTTCTTTTTATTCATTGTAAAGGAAAAGGAGAACAAAACTTTGAAACTTGAAACCTTTATCAGTCTTGCTTCTTCTTCTTCTTCTTCTGCATTAACTCGGCTATTCTGTTGGAAATGCAGTAAGCAGTGGACTGAATGGTGATCATGGGATTCACACCGAGAGCTGTAGGCAGGACACTTGCATCACATACGTACAAGTCCTCTGCCTCCCAGCTCTCTCCATATCCATCGATGGCACCTTCCTTCTCCGTTGCACCCATACGGCAACATCCCATCTGATGCGCCGTAAAGGAATGAGTCCAATGCTTGCTCATCGACACAACTCCAGGTGGCGCGTCCACGGTGTCTAGAAACGCCTCTACTTCCTCCTCTTTGACTCCTTTACATTTCATTCTCTGCCCATCGCTCCTGTATGTGCCAACCTCTTCTGCTCCTGCTGCAACTAAGATCCTCAGTGCTTGCTTTAACCCAATCGCCAGATTCTCTTCGTCCAGCTTGGTTGATTTGTATTTGACAATGCCTCCCTTCATATCTCCAACACCTTCATCTCTCACCATTACAAAAATATGAGATGTTCTTGCGTATTTGGCCAGCCTATTCTTCATATCTGCCCCAGAGACCCATGGGGTCAGAGCTGCGAACGTTCCTGGTCCCATTGCCGGAGTCTCCAGCGTTATGTTAGGTGTTGTCGAGTCCATTTCAAGAACGTAATGTAGTGAAGTCACGATCTCTCCCTCATGAGCTGCTCCTTTGAAGTCTGATTTTTTCTCTGGGAAGTAGCCCCAAGCCATCAGGATAGGGTGGATATGGAGACCACGACCAATGTTTGGATTCTTCAACCCGCTCGAAGCCAACAGTCTCGGTGTCATAAGCGAGCCGCAAGCAACAACCGTCACTTTGGCATTGATCTGAAGCTTCTTTCTAGTTCCCATTGACAGGGATGCTGTGACTCCCAGACATCTTCTCCTTCGTCCGCTCTCCTTTCTTGTCTGAGCATCGGTGTCAGCCAAGATCAGTGTCTCAGCCGTGCACTTTGTTAGGATCACAGCATTGTTGTTAACTGCATCGACCAGCCAAGTTGACTCTGTGCCTCTTTTATCTCCGGTTGTGCATCCAAACGAGCAACTACCACAATAATGTTTCTCTGATGAATTCCTTGGCACTGCTGTCACTTCCAAATCAAGCTTCTCACAACCTTTCCGCAGAATCTGGTTTTGAAACCCTTCTTTGATGAATTTGTCAGTGACACCTAGCCTCCTGCAAACTCTGTCCATAGCGGCCTTATATTCCTCCATAGCAAATATTGCAAGCCCTCGATCCACTGACCATTCTTTGATGATAGCGTCAGGTGTGTTTAAACACGCCGCCCAATTTACCACAGAGCCACCACCGAGAGTTGACCCTGCCATGAACCGGAACCTCCCATCATGAGTCATCAATAAGCTATGCGCCTCGAACAGCTCAAACATGGAAGGACCCTCGAGAGCCGAGTAGTCTCGGGGCACAAAGTAGTTCCCTTTCTCAAGAACTACTACTTTAAGGCCTGACTTTGCTAGGTTTGCAGCTGCAACTCCTCCACCACATCCAGAGCCCACTACCACTGCATCACACTCGATCTTGTAAGTGTCGCTTTCAGTATCCTCTGTGACTTTAAGACCTTTGTTGATCATACGTTGCTTGATATTCATCTCATCTTCGTTTGCTGTCTCGATGATACCTTTATCTAGAGGCCTTTCCTTGAGTGCCATGTCCTTGCTTTCACCCAAGTCCACACTATAACAAATTGCATCCCATGCCGGGTTTTCTGTGTTCTCATCTGTCTGTTCATGCATCTGAATTAGTTCATTCATATATGAAGACTATGGTATAGTTCTTGCTGGTTGTAGAAAATTAGTCCTAGCGAAGAACAGAGCCTACCCAACACATAATCTACCATAACTTACTTTTAAGTATTGATTTTTCTAACGATTCATGTTTGCACCTTATGTTCAGATTCATACTATTTTGCTGGAAATGTTCATATAAACTTCCAGAGTCTCTTGAAAAATCAAAATGGAAGACGTTGGAAGACTTACCCATGTGAAGTAGTAGAACAAGAAGATGGCTTTGATCATCATGAAAGCGATTCTTGCTAAAGGGTTATACCACTGAATGTTCCATCTCTGGAGAACCTTTTCCCTTTTCTCAAGCGAGACATCAGAGAATTTGAGAAGAAAAGGCCAATTCTTGTCATCAAGACACACAAACCCGCAAAGCAGCAACGTTCCCAGTCTGAATGTGAGTAGTCTCAAAACTATCCTCACCACTATAACTGTCAGTTTCATTGCCTTTGTTGCCAGTAGCTCTGCCACCTGTTTTATCAATTTAAAATCATGTTATGAATTTGCATAAAATAACTTAACGTGCACATTGAAGAGAATGTAGAGTAATTAAGATGTTTATTTACACCACTTTGTATACAGGAGGGTCATGAATCCTGATGCTTATATTCCTCTTGTCGGTTTAAGAAATAAGATGGTTCATCTTCGAAATTCTAGAAAACGGGAAATAGTTGACAAGAAGAAGAAGAGAAAAACCTCATCAGGTCTAACATGAGCAGTAGAAGACTTGAAGAAAGACAAGAGTGCATCGTTGCGTAAAACCTTCAACTTCATCTCAAGATCTAAGCTCTCTAATCGAACAGGAGGCATAATAGCCTCGCAAACGGCGGAGAGAGCTTGGAGATCAGATTGTGAGAAGCCATGGCTGAATCTTTCTTGTTTCATACTCCATCTCAACAAAGGGTTCCCTCTCTTCTCTCCCCTTATTCCTCCCATCTCTTCACTCTGCTTTCTGATTTCAGATTTTGAGTTGCTCTCTCTCTCTCTTCTCTCCCTTTCATCCTTCAGTTTACATGCATATATATATATATATATAGACATCCCGTGAAACTTATTGTTCTGTTCATTTTTCCTTTTGATTTCCTCTGCAAATACGTTGTCGGGAAATCTAAGGCGGTTCCTTAAGTGTTGGGTAATCAGAAAGAAGAATAAAAAAGTGAATGAAAGAGTTTGTGTCTTTTTTGAGTTTTTAGATTATGTTTGTCGTTTGCGTCTGTGTTGTTGCATGAGTAAAGAAGAAAGCGCAATACGCAATACATGTACAGTATGTTTGTAAATGAATACGTATGTGTCTCTTCAGGTGTGTGATACAACAGGGGTCCACGTGACAAACGGTACCTTGTACATATGTTACAGTTTTCTTTTGAGATCACCTAAAAAATCAATAAAATCTTTACTTTAATATTTTGTTCGTTGCGAGTCTTGTCCAATATTATAACTGGTGGGATTGGAACTTGGAATAATTTGTCTAGTTTTTACGGCCGATTTTGTTACCTCTTTCTTGCGTCATGGCTTACATCAATTTTGTAACACGTTTATTCGTTTATTCTAACGATTATTTGATAATATGATAACAAACAACAGTACAATTAGAAATAATACAGTGGTAAAGATGCTGGTAGGATAAATGACTTAATACAAGTGGTTAGTCTAACAGAACGATCTAAATATGAAGTCCGTATTTTATTTTTTACCAATCAGTGGCCAATAATCAATTTTGTTGTTGCTTACAGCTGCTGACTCTCTTTACAATTTTACCAAATTAAGATTGCAGTAGAGAAACAAACAGTAAAATTAGCCTCGTAATATTAAATCCACTTTCAACTAAATGTCGTTCACTTGGTTAGTTTTTTCTGGTTCTTTTTTCCCTCCACGTTGTTAGTTCTATATCTGAAACCAAAAATTATGATTTAGCTCTCAACATTCTTTTTTCCCTTTTATTCTTCTCCTTGCTGTTAATAACTGCGTAATTCAACTTTTTGGAAAAAGAGAACATTGGTTGTAGAATCTTAAATAAAAATGCTTTCAAAGAAATCATCAACTTTCGCTCTTAATCGAGTCGAAATGGAAAATTACGTAGTTTCTTTTCGATGTTGATTTCACTCTATCCCTTCTTATATTTTACAGGGGAAAAAACAAATAATAAACACACAAAATAGCCTTTCTTTTTTTTTCCTTAAAAACTATTTTGGTTTGTTTTGGCAATCTCATTATGTCTAGCTACAAAATGAAGAGCCTCTTGAAGGGTCTTCGGTACATTTCTCAAATCTTTGGTGAGTTATTTTTTGCTTTTCATAAAATACTCATTCGCCGAGTCCTTTTTTTTTTTTTTTTTTTTTTTTTTTGTATTCCCTAAGTTTCAAGTTTGTGGATTGTATAATGCAGAAAACGAGAAAGAGCCAGAGATGCAAATTGGAATCCCCACAGATGTAAAGCATGTTGCTCACATTGGTTGGGATGGAGGATCTGTCAATCAAAACTCACCCAGCTGGGTATTTACACACATACATATACAATTATACATATAAATAATTGTCTCTCTATATATATATATATATATATACTTTGGAATAACAATATATCACTATTATAATTTATAAACTCAATGCAGATGAATGATTTTAAAGCATCGGGTGGCTATCCATCGGCGCCTCTAGGAAATATCAAGGAGGATGCTTCCTCCATTTCTGAAGGTAATTTTCACTGTTATATTTACTATTGGCTAGAAAAGTTAATGTAATCAAAGAGAACAAATGTAACGTGGAAGTTGACGTGCAGATTCGACTAGGTCACGTGATATACCGGGACTTCCAAAATCGTGGAGAGACCGCTCGAACAATTTGGTTTCAACAACAAAGGAACGGTCACGACGTGGATCTTTGATTTCTAGTGGAAACCCTAAAACCTCACGGAGATCTAAAGAATCTTCTGATATTCTTCAAGATGGTTCTAGAAAATCTCGACGGAAAAAGTCCAAGGATTGTGTAAATGGTGGATCTATAAGATCGTCGCGAAGAGCACGAGGGTCTCAGACAGAATCTATAAGTGGTTCAATGTCTGATGCAGGCAGGATCAATGATATCATCAATCTCCAGTGATACTTAAGATACAAAGAACGTTCGGTCTGGTCTAATTGATGTATCATATATATATAGCTTTGGTTGGTTACTTGGTTACTAGTAATTCAAGCTTGATGGGACTTTTTCGAATTAAATAGAGATATTCATATATGATTCGTCATATTAATCGAGTTGATCAAATTGATGAAGATTTGTGTTGATGTTTTCTCTCTCAAAGTTAAAATCACAAGTTTCACACGATACAAGTTTATAGAGTTTCTACTATAAGGTAAAAAACGACAGCTTAGCCATTTATCATCCTGGTCAATGAGGCTAAAAAAGATGTTATAAATCAACAATTTTTAAAATCAGAAGTATTTCCAAACCGGTTAAATAACCGGACGGATTTTTCCTCCGCGGTTGACTGTACCAGTCTTCTTTCTCTTTTTGACTCTCTCCACAAGGTCCTTGCAAGAGAAGACGAGAATCCATTAAATCCGCATTTGAATTTAATGGAGAGTCCTCTGCGAGTGTTACACTTATTACATACCAAAAGCATTTCCGATTACATTCCTAACCTATCGCCTTTTTTTCCGGTAGTTCAGAGAGCTCTTCTTCTTCTTCGAACCCATCCCTGAATCTTTCGGCGCAAGTTTGCGCCTCCAACGACAAACCGGGATAATGTCTATGGCGAGTTTGTATCGGCGGTTCCTTCCCTCCCCACCGGCAATAGAATTCGCTTCTGTTGAAGGCAAGGTGCGTACTATCAAGTTTTCGATCCATGGGTAATGGGTTCCACATCAAATTTAGGGTTCTGGGTTTAAGTCTACTTTTCCTCTCCTGCCTTTTGCTACTGATTTTAGAGAACGATAATTGCTTTTGGGTTTCCCGTGGATTGATTTGGTTAGTTCTTCGTCTAAACATTGGATCTTCTCGGGAACCGTGTAGCGTTCCTAAAACCCTTAAACCTCTTCCAGTCTCGCAACTTTAGATGTTGGTGAGATCTGCGTATGCCAATTAGCAATTAGCAAACTGTTTTCCAAATTTCATGGATGGTCGACTCTCACTATGAGGACAAAAGGAGCCTCTCTTGGCTTTTACTGGATGTTTTCTGTCACAAGAGTTTAAATTGGTCATCGTTTATGCAGAAAATCTTCAATGAAGCTCTTCAGAAAGGCACCATGGAAGGATTTTTCAGGCTGATTTCTTATTTTCAGACGCAGTCCGAGCCTGCCTTCTGTGGTTTGGCTAGTCTTTCAATGGTTTTGAATTCTCTTTCCATTGACCCTGGCCGTAAATGGAAAGGTATACCTCAAATTCATAATTTTTTGGTGTTTAGAAGACCACATTTGGTATTTGAACTTTTTGGTTTCTCATAGGGCCTTGGAGGTGGTTTGACGAATCAATGCTGGAATGTTGCGAGCCGCTTCAAATAGTCAAGGATAAGGGTATTTCATTTGGGAAAGTTGTCTGTTTGGCTCATAGTTCTGGGGCAAAAGTCGAAGCCTTCCGTACAAATCAAAGCACCATTGATGCTTTCCGCAAGAACGTGATGAAATGTTCGACTTCTGATAATTGTCATATGATCTCAACATATCATAGAGAAGTCTTCAAGCAGGTATTAGTTATTGGCCAAAACCGTGTATAAAGTAACGATAATATGGCATCTAGATGAATTCCAACACTCCTTAAGGTGTCCCTGTTCTTACGAAGTTTGAGATTCTGATATATTTGGTTGCAGACTGGAACAGGCCACTTTTCACCTATTGGGGGCTATAATGCTGAAAGAGATATGGCTTTGATTCTTGATGTCGCTCGTTTCAAGTATCCTCCTCATTGGGTTCCTCTTAAACTTCTATGGGATGCCATGGACAGTATTGATCAGTCAACAGGGAAACGTAGAGGGTGCATATCTTTCTTCCTCTCTTCTTCTTAGGCTTTTTTTGTAGACGTAGAGGGTGCATGTCTTCTTTCTTACCGGATTCGCTTTTCTGTCTTTCTGATTTACTTCCAGGTTCATGCTTATATCTAGACCACACAGGGAACCGGGATTACTCTATACTCTGGTAAGCTCAAAGCCATGGTTCTATTTGTACTTGCTGCTAGTTTGTTGTATATCACTTCACACATTAGCTGTTGATATGGATTTGACCTTTTAAGAGAACATTTCGTTCATATTGGACCGTGTGATGATCTCTAGTTTATATATTTCAGAGTTGCAAGGATGAGAGCTGGAACAGCATAGCAAAGTATTTGAAGGAAGATGTTCCTCGTCTTGTAAGCTCACAAGATGTTGATACTATTGAAAGAATCTTAGATGTTGTGTTCAAGTCACTTCCGTCAAATTTCAACCAATTTATCAGATGGATGGCTGAGATCCGAAGAGTAGAGGATGTAAATCAAAATCTCAGCTCAGAAGAGAAATCAAGGCTGGACTTAAAGGTATTCTCTTATCGAGCCTGGTTTTCAAATGGTCAAAACAATTTCTGTTTTTTCTTTCGTGTTTATATTTATTAATTGATTGATTGCTCTTCTTTGGTTCGTTTTGCTGTAGCAAGAGTTACTGAAACAAGTTCACGAAACTCAACTGTTCAAGCACGTTGATAAGTTTCTATCCGCTGTGGGTTACGAAGACAATCAAGGAGCTCAAATCTTATCGGGAACTGAATTAGATGAGATGTGTTGCCACGAGACTTGTGTGAAATGCATCAAAGGTATGTTGGTTCTTGAACTTATGGATCACAACAAGGATCCTTGTCCAAAACGATCTAATGATGTCTTCTTAAATTGATTTCGGACTGTTTTTGGAAGTGGCGGACACATAAAAACGGATCAGAACTAACCCGAACACCTTGGAATCTTTCTAAAATATGAAGTTTCTATTTGGATGAAGCGGCACGAAACTAGACTAGTGTTCTCATCACCAATTCTACACCTAGATCATGTTTGGTTAGGCTAGCTTGGTGACGTTAGAAAACCATTTGATACTGTCAATTTCAAGCCAGCTTTTTTCAGTTTTCTTACCCATAAATCCCGACTCTTTTTTCAAGGTCATGGCGAGGAGAAAGCGACGGTGGTAGCTTACCCATCCGGGAACGATGTGTTCACTGCTCTTCTGTTGGCTTTACCTCCACAGACTTGGTCAGGTATCAAAGACCATTCACTTTTGCAAGAAATGGAACAACTCATTTCTCTGGTTAGCCTCCCGACTTTGCTTCAACAAGAGGTAAATAACTAAGCCACTACTCCTCTTTGAATTCGTGTTAGGACAAAAAACATAAATGAAACTTTTGAGATTCTTAGGATAACCTCTACAAAACACGACAGTAAAATCAATTATTTTATGGGTTTTGGTACAGGTTTTGCATCTACGACGCCAACTTCAGATGCTAAAACGATGCCAGGAGAATAAAGAAGACGAAGACCTCTCTGCTCCTGCCTAATTAACACTACATCACTCTCATTTTTTCTCAACAATCAACTAAGTGTTAGGGAACCTCTAGGTCTTTAGACAAACGCTATGTAATATCCACTACATCCCTGAGATATTAAACGCTATCAACAATCAACCACATCACCATCGCTTTACTAAAGATTATATCAAGTCCATATATAGGTTTTATTTACATGCACGAGCATCCATCATCATGCTTCTGGAGTTACTAGTGACTAAATACTATTATCATTCCAAGGAGTGGCTCCTGGTTAGAGACCGCGATGATGGCTTTGGTTTCTCCACAACTGGAATCAGTTGCTCCATGAGATTCTTGTATCTCTCTCTCGTCCTCTCTTCAATTTCCTTCAAAAGCTCTTCATTCTCTTCCTCTAATTTCGCAGCCAGAGTCTCTAATTCCACTTGATAAGCTTGTTTTCTCTCTCTAGACCTAGCAGCGGACTCACGGTTCTTGATCATCCTCTTCTGTCTCTGAGCTGCAGCTTTATCCATTGCCTCCATCATCACTCTCCCTCTCTTTCCCTTCATTCCTCCACCGATTGATCCTCCTTCAATCATCTGTTGCGGCATCATCGTGGAGTAATCGAATGAATAGCCACCGCCGATGAGTCTCTCCGGTGGAATCTTCACATCGATTTCATCATCCATCGCCTCTGCTTTCGCTAGGAAATCCTCGAGCGTCAGTATCCCTTCTTCCTGTGCTTCCTCCTTCATGATCGTCTTTTTCTCTCTGGATACAATCTCTCTCCAAACATCGTCCACACTCTTTCTTCCGCCGTTGACGCTGTTCCGGTCTCCGTTACTCGGATCAGCATCAATCGACATCTCAAACGGCTTCGGATCAGACGCGAAAGCATAATCGTGAATATTTCCGTCGTAACCGAAACCGAAACTTACTCTCGAGTGATCGGCGTGAGGATCTCGTCTGAGATGGTGCGATTTTATAGAGGGAGAAGATGAAGCAGAAGAGGAATTACGACGAGACAGATCGGAATTTCTCGAGTTGGAAGAAGACATCATCTTAAAGGACGCCATTTCCGGTGAAGTTTGATTGAAACGAATTTCGAGTGAAGAACAAAACAGCGAAACAATCGGAGATGGTCGTAAGTCGTAACAGAGATGGATGGATCTTTCTAGGGCTATCTTGTCTCGAGCTCGCTGGATTTACAAGTTATGAACAAAAAACACGCGCACGTAAACGCGTGAGTGCACCTTCTATTTTAAAATACGTTAATATCAATGCGACGTGACTAAACGCCAAAACTGAAGAGTTTTATAATGCACGCACACGGCCAAGAGGAGAATATGTTCGTCTCTCTGTCTGTGTATCCGTTTCTTCTTATTTTCTAGTCATGTCTTGGAGCTCTGAGATTGAGAGTGGTCAGATGGTAGAGCACATCGTCCTTTTCAAGATGAAGGACGACGCTGACTCCGACAAGATCGACTCCATCTTCAAAGGGCTCAACGGTCTTGTCAGACTCGACCAGGTGCTTCAGCTCTCCGCCGGTCCCGTCCACCAGCTCCGATCCGCCTCAGCCTTCACTCACGTTCTTCATAGCCGGTACGGATCCAAAGAAGATCTCGGCGCTTACGCTGTACATCCTGATCACGTTAGCCTTGTCCAGGATTCGGCACCGATTTTGGAAGATATCATGGCCGTTGATTGGATCGCCGATCGAACCATAGCACCGCCTCCCGGTTCGGTTGCTAAAATCACGTTACTGAAGCTGAAACAGAATGTCTCCGTGGAGGCGAAGATGGAGATTATGGAAGTGATTAAGGGGATTAACGCGAAAGTTTCAGGAATTGATCAGTTCACTGTGGGGGAGAACTCTCCGGGTAGAGCAAAGGGTTTCTCGATTGCATCGATTGCGTATTTTAGGGATGTGGGAGAAATGGATGCGCACGAGGAGTTGGTGAACTTGCAAAAGGACAAAAAGGTTGGCGATTATATCGATGATACCATTGTTGTTGACTTCGTGGTACCGTCTTCGTCACAGCCTTGTAGCCTCTGAAATATTCAATGTTATTTCTTCATCCTGGCACTCTAATAAATATTTCGAACTCCGAAATTTCATTTTCATTTTAACGGCTCTTAAAATGTTACGTAATTCGATTTAATCACCCACTTTGATCAATCAGAAAAAGATAGCGCAACTTGTGCAATCATGCAAATCATTTTCCCACCAATATTAACATATCAATTATGCGGCAAAACGTACTTTATTCTTTAAAGATCAAATGAATCAGCTCAGGTTTCAAATCAAAAGAAAAGAGCCAAAAATTATTTTGTACATTGTTCCTTTGACAGAGAGATCCCAACCTGTTAAGAAGAAAAAAACTAGAAGGGAGGTTCTTCTACCGTTCATCCCATACAATCTGCACTTTCCTCTGCATCTTCCTCCAATGACAATCTAACATATTCTCTCTGAGCAAATCCATCCCACTCTGTCATATTTGGATCCTCCCGTTCCTACAACAATGAAAGGGAATCATACTTGTTTTAGTTTGCATCAATCCGAGCTACTACCAGTTGCCTTTAGCAGTTAAGGACTCATATCCTAGTCCTACAAAAACTCCAGGGGAAAGCCAAACTTACCTGTCGAATGAGAAAGGGGTCACGTGATTCAAACGCCATGAATTTGTTGAGGTTGAAGAGTATATTGAAGACGTTTCCTGAAAGTTTGGATCCTTTCAGATCCTGGAGGGTGATGCAGTTCTCCTTCTGTATAGTCACTCACCAAATTGATGGTCCCAGTCAAATAAACGAACATTAAGAAACAAATCTGAAAAATCAGACGACCATTGTTCTAACCTCGGGTCCAATCATGTCAATTATTTGACATAGGATATCGTTGAAGAGAAGAGGTTCCTGGGTTAATGATTCCATGCGATGCAGCTGCTCTTCGAAAAAGAAATGTATCTCGTTTGGAGTGATCACCCCATTTCCATCCAAGTCTATGCACTTGAACCTGCACACAAGGTTTCGATGATGAAGAAGACTTTTTTATAGACAAGCCCACATGTGTCACTAGTTTTGGCTCAGATGTAGAATATATATCAAGATCTTATGATTTAAACCAAGAGGAACCGATATCAACATGGAGGAGAGAGATGTGTACCAATACTCAAGACTAGGCTCGGAAGACTTGTCTTCCTCGGCGAGAATGAAGTATACAAAATCTTCATAACTCATCTTCCCTTCAACATTGCTCGTAAACTTCCTGGGTACCTAAGAGAGAAACATAGCCACAACACATCGTGATAAGATAAAAAGTGTCACATCTTACTATTAACTTAGATGCAAAGAAGCTCTAGGTAGGAACAATTTCGGGAACCAACCTGTGAAAATATTCTATCAACAATCCTGTAGGTAAGGGCATGATTACCATATTTGATGAGATCGTCCTTATCAATAAAGCAATCATGGTCACCATCAAGTTCCCAAAATTTGCAGTATATGACGTAGAAGTGTTCATACGAGAAGTACCTGAAAAGTTCAAAGAGACGACATGATTGTGAGTGGTTGTATCAGGCATAAGTTCTGTCTCAGCAACAATGTGAAGACATAAGCCAATACTCATATACCTCATTAAAAACTCACCTAATACTTTTGTTGATATCACCCTTTTCACCAAGTTGCTGCATAGTAGCGATAAGATTTCCTCGTTTCAGCTCTCTCAGAGTAAGACAACCAGTTCCAGATCTGTTTATGTAGTAAAATATTCTGTAGATGACAGTTTCAGCTGGGTAATCAACAAAGAATTACATTAGCACAAGTATAAATCTAACATAACCAGTAGATTTCATCATCATAATTCACAAATCAATGAGTCTTACCATATCTTTCCTGAAATTCGCTTGTACTCCTCAGAAATTCTAAGCCAGGATGTGTTGCCAGAAGCTCATCAAGAACTGGTTTGAAGTCTGTCTGTAGCCAAATCCCAAAAAATATCAAAATCTTTAGCGAAATAGGCTAAAAGAGGAAGACAATTGTTGGAACATAAGTCAGAACAAGATTGAAGAAACGTGGGAGAAGAATCACAAAATAACCTGTCTGAGGTACTTGCAGCCTTGCTGCCTTAATATATTATATATCTGCGAGGCTGTGTCCATAGTTAACATGTTTCCATCAATCCAATACTTGATAAATGCATCCCTGAGGAAAATTTTAGTCAGTTAACTAGTAAAGCAAATGTTAATACGACTAAAAATCTTAGAAAAGGGAGCAAGCACCAGAAGTTTTCTTACACACACATACAGTTACCTACTAATTTGAAAAATATTTACAAAGAAAAATACTGTACATGGACGTACCTTGAAACTATACCAGTGCAATTGGGATCTATCTTTCTGAAAAGTACAGGAGAAAGAAAAGAAGGCAGCTTGCAGACTTCTTTCGTAAGGGATTTGAATTCTGCAATAGGAACAAGATTGCTAAGATGAATTGCCTTAAATATTTTCTTAAAAAGAACAAAAAGTTGAATTAAAACATCACCATCCACATGTAGTCCGTCAATATAGTTGCTAAAATATTGATCAACCACGGATATGCATTGCTCCTTTAGTTCTTTTGCTGGTGGACGCCCATGTTGGAAGTAGAACTGGAAAACATATCATTGCATAAAACATTTAAGAATATAGACCACAATACCGTTTCCTCACAAACTGCTATGAGTTCAAATCAGTTTTACCTACAAACTAGTAGCCTATGTTTAATCTTGTACTCTGCATCTACTTAAGAAGCTATCTAAACCCAGTTTCAATGCCAATAAAGTGAACATACATACATACTAGGATCCAGAGCAAGGCAGTGCATTCAATGCAAACAATGATATCAGCAGGAAATGAGATAAAACCTGAGGAATGCTTTCGCTCTTTGGTTCGCTGACTGATCTCAGAGGAGACAGGAGAGATGGAGGACTCGTCCTTTGCTTCGAGAAACATGGGGAACCAGATGAGCTTCGTGGAGACAGTGGGGGAGTGCCGCTGCTCAGAAACACAGCTGGCAAAGCACTTTCACCAGAAACATTGGTGCTGGCACAACTCTTAGATGCATCAGTTAGCGTTCCAGATTTAGCATCATCGATCAAAGACTTGACCTAGAGAAAAATATCAAACCAGGTTCATGGAAAAACAATCGTGTTACACAACTTCATATTTGTATTTGATTCGCCATAACAAACCACAAGAAACAACATTTCAACAACTCTATGGGTTAAGGAATCAGAAAGTACCAAAGTTGCTGTTTGTGGGAGTGAGAGCCACTGGGAGAAGAGTTCATCAGCGATACGAGAGCTTGCTTTGACCGGAGATGGAGACAAACTCGGAAGCTGCAAGAGCTCAGGATCTAATTTATGAACATCGTCTGCCCCATCAATATCCATGATGTTCGCAATCCTTACGAACAACTTAAGGTGACGAAACCGCCGCGAAATTCCAGAAATTCAAAATTCAGGCTTTGAAAAGTCGACGACCGTATCAACAGCTTGAAAATGATTGGACACACCAGCTTTAGCAAACAGAGAAACGCACTATCGAATCCGGTAAGCCCTAGTTTTCGAATTCCGATTCAGAACAGATTACAAAATCACAGGCGATTTTGCTTTCCAGAAACAGACAACAATCTGGGATTCCTGCACCGAGTTGAATGAAAATGGCAGGTGAACGTACCACGCTCTCCGATCAATAATCCGGTCAAATGGGGATTGAAGAGTTCGAGGCAAGATTTCCCCGGAGAGTTATCAAGCGACGGAGGACTCTACAGATATTTATTACTCTCCGGCGGTATGCTTTTTCACCATTTTTTTCTTTTTGTCTTTGACCTATTAGTCAACCACAGTTAATAATTGTTTTTCCTCTGCTCATTTCCTTCCATTTGTGAAAGATTTAAATATTTAATATTTTAAGAAAATAAAATCCCCGTTTATTAAGCCGAAATCATAATTCAATTTGGATTGGAAATACGAAAATTACGTAATCGGTAAGAAATTAAAAACCCCGAAAAATTGATGCGATCACGTTGAATCCAAACCTCTCTCGACAGAGTCTCCGCGTTGTGAAGCTTTGAGATTGAGTCCATCTTCACGCAGAAATTCCCAATTCCCGTCTTATCTCAGAGATTAAAAATCCAGAGAGAAAACATGAATATCTTCACCAAGAAACCAAATCCCAGAGGTTTGATTTCGAGTTTTTTTTTCTCTCTCTCTCTTAGATTATATTTGTTACTCCGATTGATTGACCTAATTCGAATTTGATCATCGGGTTTGTCCGCGTTCACACAAAAAATGTTGACTTGTTAGTAAATTCGTGGCGCGATCGTGATCACAATTCTAGTGTCTCTTTTGAATCTGCCTTGGTTTCGCTTGAAATCGAGAATCTTCTATCGCAATTCGAGGTTGTGATGAATCTCAGAATCTGAATGTATCGTTATTGGTAAATTGCAGAAGCTCTTAGGGAGAGTAAGCGAGAGATGACTCAAGCTACAAGAGGTATTCAATATACCAAGCATGAATTGCTATATATACGTACATAAATTCCTCTTAAACTGATGAAAATTCCCGTTTTTCAGGAATCGAAAAGGAAATCCTATCTCTGCAGTCAGAAGTATGAGTGTGGCTTATGCAGAATGCATTCATCCAATCTTTTCGTTTTTTGCGGTGTACATTGATATGACATATTGTGGTTTCATGTATGATAGGAGAAAAAGCTCGTTCTCGAGATTAAAAGAAGTGCTAAAACAGGGAATGAGGTAATTCAAGCAGTCTTTAATTATATCTTTGTGCCTGGAAAATACTCTAGTTGATGTCTTTCTTGTACATCGTTTGGTTTGGTATATGCAGGGAGCAACAAAGACTCTTGCGCGGCAATTGATCCGGCTAAGGCAGCAAATCACTAAGTTACAAGGAAGCAGAGCTCAAATGCGAGGGATTGCTACTCATACACAGGTCTCTTGTTTGAAATATAAAGATCTGTGTATAAATTATGTTTAAGGTATGAGTATTAGAAACTTTTCACTTTGGTGTTTAGGCTATGCATGCACATACTTCAGTTGCTGCTGGAATTCAAGGTGCCACTAAGGCAATGTCAGCTATGAGCAAGGTCAGGTTTCCGCTATGTGTGTTGATTTGGGTGGATTCAGTTTGGAACTTGTTCTGTAATTTAGCTAGATGTGTTTGATATTTCCAGAATATGGATCCAGCAAAACAGGCCAAGGTTATGAGAGAATTCCAAAAGCAGTCTGCGCAAATGGACATGACTGTAAGTTGTATCAGTCCATCTTTTCTTTAACTTCATTGACACTCAATATACTTATTCTGACTAATAATGTAAAATATGGTTTGTTCAGACTGAGATGATGTCAGATTCTATAGATGATGCTTTAGACAATGACGAAGCTGAAGACGAAACAGAGGATTTGACAAACCAGGTGCATTTTCCCCGGTCTACCCATCAATCCAGCTCTAGAAATAGAGACTGTTTCAAGCGTTTATTTAACAAAGCTTTTGTTTTGCTGGTTAGGTTCTTGATGAAATCGGCATTGATATCGCCTCACAGGTTTGTTTTTAACCATCTATTCACTCTTCATTGTTCCGTCTCTTGATGGCTTTCTCTGTGATTGATTATATGTCTCTTTTTTTTATTCATCTGCAGTTATCATCTGCTCCAAAAACTAAAATTGGCGGGAAGAATGCAGAGGATGTTAGCAGGTACGGTCTCCCACTAAACACGCATAACTATAGAACATAGATGAACACAACTATGCATTAGAAGAACATATAATGCGTAGAGTATCTATATTTGCAACGTCGAAATCAAACCTCAATATTTCTGTGCAGTTCTGAAATTGATGAACTGGAGAAGCGGTTGGCGGCGCTTAGATAGAGAGAGCAAGTGCCACGAGCCTCAAGATGTTTCACACATATACTTTTATACATTCAATGCGTCTTCTTCTACAGTTTGATTTTTTTTTGTTTTTTTTCTTCAACTGCTATTCAGGGAAGATTGTGGATATATAAACAATAAAACAAATTTAGTGACTTTATTAGAACAACCATAGTGGTGGTTGTGGAGGTTGGCGCACGTGAGAGGGCGTCTGATGAAATTCAGCGGACAAAACAAAAGGCAATCTTACTTTCCCGGTGGGTTCTCTTTTCTTTATAAAAGAGTCTTTTCCTCGAAACTTTTTAGTCACAACACACCATGGCTCCTCTTCATCAACCTCCTACCATCATTGAGACCAGTCACATCTCTCCCCCAAACGGCACCGTTCCATCCACAACTCTTCCTCTCACCTTCTTCGATGCACCGTGGCTCACGCTCCCGCTCGGCCAGTCCCTCTTCTTCTTCTCTTACCCAAACTCAACTGAACGTTTCCTAAAAGACTTTGTCCCTAACCTCAAACAATCACTCTCCCTCACTCTCCAACATTTCTTCCCTTACGCCGGTAACCTAATCATCCCACCTCGTCCTGACCCTCCGTTCTTACGCTACAACGATGGCGAAGACTCTCTTGTTTTCACCGTCGCAGAATCTACTGGTGGGACTGATTTTGATTATCTCAAAACAGATTCTCCTAAAGATATCAGAGTGTTGCATGACTTGTTACCCAAGTTACCTCCACCTCATGTCTCTCCTCAAGGAATCCAGACGCGGCCGATAATGGTGATTCAAGTCACCATCTTCCCTGGAAGAGGAATCTGTATAGGAAACACATCTACGCATGTCGCAGCAGATGGAGTCACCTTCACTCATTTCATGAAGTATTGGATGTCTTTGACCAAATCCAACGCCGGGAACGATTCCACAAAGATTCTTCTACCCTCTCCGCCTATTCACACCTGCAGAAACGTGATTAAAGACCCAGGCGAGGTCGCCGCAGGACACTTGGAGCGGTTTTGGAGCCAAAACTCGGGGAATCACGGCTCACATGCTACGCCTGAGGACATGGTTCTAGCTACTTTTACGATGAGCCGGAATCAGATAGACAATCTCAAGCATTGGGTCACAGAACAGTCCACGATTCAATCGCATGTTTCAAGCTTCGTGGTGACTCTTGCTTTCGCGTGGGTGAGCTTGATCAAAACACTTGTTCAAGACAGTGAAACAGAGGCTAAGGGGGAAGACAAAGACCAACAAGTCTTTCACCTGTTGATCAATGTGGATTGCAGGAACCGTCTCAAGTGCACAGAACCAATACCACCCACCTACTTTGGCAACTGTATGGCTCCTGGTATCGTATCTGTCAACAAACGAGATCTGCTAGGAGAAAACGGCGTTTTGGCAGCTTCAGACGCAATCACGGCGAGAATCAAAGAGATGTTATCAAGCGATCTATTGAAGACAGCACCAACTTGGGGAAGAGGAGTGGGTAAATGGGTCATGTCCCGATTTCCAACATCAATCGCAGGAGCTCCGAAGTTGGGACTGTATGATATGGATTGTGGGTTAGGAAAGCCCTGCAAAATGGAGATGGTGCACATAGAAACAGGCGGTTCTATTGCATTCTCAGATTCCAGAGACGGCAGTAATGGAGTTGAGGTCGGGATTGCGCTGGAGAAGAAGAAAATGGATGCCTTTGCTTTGAATCTACAACAGGGGATCAAGAGATTCGAAATCTAGCAGCCAAGAGCTCTTGATAAGTATATTTCTGTTCCAGTCAATAACTTGTAACAGCAGCCAAATGATTCAACTTTTACCAGATCAAAACAAAACAAAACTACAAAGCCCTCAAGAAGCATTAAGCAGGCGTGAGATAATCGCCGTTCGAGGCTGACTGGTGGCTGACATCAAATCGTTCCGACACACTATTCTGCAGACAACAACAGTTCCGACAGAACACAGCATGTTCCGACAAAAAATATTCCGACAACAATAATTCCGTCAAAAAAACTGTACGACAGAACTACGCATTTCCCGACAACAATGATTCCGACATAAGCTGAATTTCGGCTTTTATCGGCCCATTACGAAAACAAATTGGGCTTTCCATCGGCCCATTACGATATTTCAGTTGGGCCTGAGATCAGCTCGTTCCGACACACACTATTCTGCCGACAACAACAGTTCCGACAGAACTCTGAATATTCCGACAACAATTATTCCGACATAAACAGCACTTTTAAACATACCTTTTCCGACATAACTTGAAAACAAATTGGGCTTTCAATCGGCCCATTAAGATATAAGTTGGGCCTGAGGTCGGCTAGTTCCGACATCAAATCGTTCCGACACACTACTCTGCCGACATAAAATGTTCCGACAACAGTTCCGACAAAAATGTTCCGACAGAACTCGTACAGCTGGATGTTCCGACAACAACTATTACCTTGGCTGTTCTTGTTCGATTTAGACTTTTAAACTTACCTCTTCCTACATTGGCCAATTCTGATATTAATTGGGCTTCATCCTTTTCAGCATTTAACGGGCTTTTTATCGGTCCATCTAGAAAAATAATCCCGAAACCGACCTCAGGCCAGTAAAGATTTCAAAGAAGCATGCAATCTAAAACAGCCAAACACAAAATAGAGAAAGTTTTAAAGACAACAATGTGGTGTTCTTGTTTAACTCCAGGCTCACGGTTTTGTTAATAAGATGAAGCTGATGAGAACACTTGCGATATCTGAGTTTTTTCAGACGCCAAGCACAAACATACTAGTGCAAGGGTATAGTTAAAACTCAGGATGTAAACAGATATGCATAAAAAGAGGATAATTAATGGAAAGTCTCAGTTAAAACCAATGAGATCAAAGAAATTGCAGCTTCTGCCAAGGGGTTCTCCCTGAAAACAGGGTCTCGGCTCCACTACACCTCGTGCAACTGGATTACATCCTCATTGACATTCCAATCAGTTAACATAAACCACTATTGTAGGAAGCCTCAAACATTATTGCTAAGATATGAACACGACTATCAATTTCTATACATCTAAAGTGGTTACTAAGAAGTCTCAGTTAAATCCATTGAAATCAAAGAAATTGCAGTTTCTGCCAAGGGGTTCTCCCTGTAAACAGGGTCTCGACTACACTGCACCTCGTGCTACTGGATTACATCATCATCGACATTCCAACATTTAAAAAACCGAAAAGAAACAATGTAAATTGGCTCAGGTATAAATACAGCTTTTTCGATCAAGAATTATCTGAAGCAGAACTGGCGTAAGCTGTTAGATTTAATCATCACTGCCAAACAAACCCAAACGAAAAATGAAGACGAGAAATCAATCAAAAAGGACGTGAGAGATTGGCTCATATTAAGAAATTCAACCATGTTTACCGAATATGCTTCATTGACCTAAGGATCTCAGAAGCGCGGGTAAGTTTATAATCACAGCCATCAAACTAACAAACTAAGCACACTGAATCAATCTAACAAGAAACAAAATACGATTCAAATCGAATAAGAGATTTAGCCGCTTTTTTGACACAGAAAAGCCTAAAGCAAAAGGCGAGCCTGCAACACAAACGGCAAAAGCAATCTAGCAAGAGCTTTGGGGCATGTTTCCTCAAGTAATCTTATCAGATTAGCCCGGGAGGCCCCTGCGAAACATATTCGATTCTACAAAACCCTAGGCAATTGAACTACGCAAATCTACAGATCGATAATTAAAAGAGATGGAGAAGAGAAGAAGAAGGAGATGTTTGATAGCAAGAGAGATGTTCACGCGGCCCTTATATAGCTAATGACTCTGATTAAAACCCTAGCCCCAATCTCTCAAGCAAAAGTCTAAATTGCCCTCGTAAATTGATTTGCGGTTAAATAACTAACCGATTTTTACGACCTTTTGACGAATCGTTAAAAGAGTTGACTAATGTCGTATGTTTCTGGCACTAGTAAACTGTGTAAAGTGAACACAATAGATCGGAGTAGTAGTTGTCTTTGTCGCCTACCAACAGAAGATGATAGTATCACAACACATCTCTCTTAAAATGTGATCTCAATTGTGCCTCCAAAAAAGTGTTTTACATATACATAGAGAAAACTGTTTGTAAAGTAGACATGGAACGTTGTATATCTAAACCAAGATTCTCTTACAATCAATCATATGTCTTTCACTTTGTATACTCTCTTTCTTTCTTCTTCATTTCTGGAGAGAGAGAAGCTCGAAGCTCCTCCTCAATGGATCATCCCGAGTGTTTCTAGCGGCACGGGAAAACGTCGTCGATGTCTTGGATTCGTATACTCCTCCTGATTGGATTCTCTGGCTTGTTGACGCACGCCCACTTCCACCGCCGCTTGAAGTCACCAGACGGCTAGAGGTTCGGCTATCGCTCGGTCCCCCAGCAGAACTTGGACGAGCGCTTGAGCCTGCTATTGCTCTCCTTGACGAACTCCGCAGTCTCTCTGGCTCACCCTTCTGTCAAACGGAGAGCATAACACACAGTACAGTGAGTGATTGCATAATCGGTTCTAAAAGAAGCAAGGAAGGTGAGGTGTTTACGAGAGGCTTAGGCAAAGGCCCATCATCAGAGTTTCTTGATGCCAAGAGATCACGCGGTGTACAAGTTGTCGGATGCTTTCTTGAGAAGGCCTCAACCGCACCCGAGAACCTATCGCGAATCTCCTTTCCTGCAAAATTCAAACAAACAATGTTAACCACTAAACGCAGGAATCAGTTTGAGATTCCAGAAGAAAGGAAAATTACCAGGAATCATCTCCGGTTTTTCAACAGAAGGTCCTGCAGTTAACCCTGGTTTCGCAGTTGTATGATTCTGGAAACACAAAAGACTTTTGAGTAGAGAGAAACTTAAGAACCAAAAGAGAAAGGCAGATAGATTTGATAACCTGTGCCCGTGAACTAGAACCGGAGCTGGAACCAATCTGTGGATACTTCAGGACTGTCCAGTCAAATACATAATCAAACTGATAGCCTGCAATTGAGAATGATAGTTGAGAATTAAGTAACTGGAGAGACAAAGATCATTTAACTGGATAAGAAATGTGTCCATAAGAACCTTCTCGGATAAACAAGTCACGGAATAGCCTCTTAAGGTAAGAGTAATCAGGTTTGTCATCAAATCGTAGAGATCGGCAGTAATGGAAGTAGGAAACAAACTCAGACGGTTGGTTTTTACACAAGACCTGTTCTTCACATCAACGTTAAGTCATCAAAGCTAGAAAAGAATAACAACTAATCAAATCTTAGTGTCAAATTTTCCGATACCTCTATAGGAGTTGCTACTTTCTTCTCGCTTATTCTGTCATACTTCTGCTTCTTTGTCCCAGCTTTTAAACCTTGCCAAGGTAAGCTGAAAGAAATACACAATACATAAAAAAGGATTTAACATTCGTTACAGAGAAGTTTAAAGATCTGTATGGAAGCTGTAGACTTTTTGTACCTTCCACTGAGGAAATACATAAGCACATAACCGAGTGATTCCAAATCGTCCCTTCGGCTTTGTTCTTTTGAGACACAAGCAAGAAAAATACCCATATCAGATCCAGATACGTAATTGTTGGAATATGACTATATTCTATTGGAAAAAAAAAAAACACTTACCAACTCCAAGGTGAGTGTTCACACTTGCGTACCGAGCTGTTCCGGTGAGGTTTTTGTTTTCTCTGCCCCCAAAATTTGATATTTACTCTTCAGTCACTTATATATAAGCACAGATGCAGGGAAAAAGGAATTAGTTTTTTTACCTGTATGGAATGTGCCTGTGAGTCTGAAGGTCTCTGTATTTCTTCCCCAATCCAAAATCAATAATATAAACCTGAAGTATCAGGAGAAACACGTAACTCAGAGGTTTAACCATAACTATCTTCTTAAATCAAGCACATAATTATGCTTTTTCAAGATATAGTAGAATCACACAAATTTTCCGAGATGATACCTGATTTGTTTTGCGGCCAAGGCCCATTAAAAAGTTGTCTGGCTTGATATCACGGTGAAGGAAACCTTTAGTATGCACAAACTCGACTCTGTTAAGCTGAAACCATGGAAAGATGGATAAAGTTAAACAAATTTTGTTTCGATTATTGATGAAGATAAGAAGCTGCAAGATATGTGATATTTATGTACTCACTAGCTGATCTGCAATCATGAGAACGGTTTTCAAAGAGAGTTTTCGGTTACAGTAGTTAAACAAGTCTTCAAGACTAGGACCTAAAAGGTCAATAACCATTACATTGTACTCCGCTTCAACTCCATACCACTTGATGTTTGGAATACCACCTTCAACAACAGCGAAGAAAAACAAAAATTAGAGCGAATAAAAAAGTCTGTCAATCTCGTCTTTGGCTTCTTGTGATCAACTGGAGCTAGAGTACATTTTTTGACATAGAAAATGAGATCAGACTTACTTCCTCCTTGGAGCAGCATGTACAACTTTGACTCATAGTGAAGCTGTGGATGCTTGGTTTTCACAGGTTCCTGATTAAGAAACAAAAAGCAAAGAAGCAGAATCAGAAGGCCAATTCAAAAGATGAGTTAGCAAGTGAGATGCCAACTCCTATATGAGAATCAACACTTTGCTAAGAAGGTGACAATTTCAAACAAAAAGACTATCTTTTGTCATTAATATGTTACCAAAGTTATCATCAAAGTCTATCATTGTAAGCTTACCAGCTTAACCGCAACTTCTTCTCCGGTTTGGACATTTACAGCTGCAAAATGCTCAAACAACATCAAAACCTGAAGAAGTGACAAAATCAAGCACTGAGAATGAACAGATTTTCCATTTTTTTTCTTGTTACCTATATAAAGCTCTCCAAATGATCCACTGCCAATTTTCCTCCCAAGTTTAAACTTTCCACCAATTACAAGATCCATAATTTCCTCCAACAATCTCTCAAGCAGAAACCCAGATTTTCTTTTCAAACACAGAAATTGAACAACCCCTTCTCTCGGAAAGTCGGCCCTGGAATCGTCTTCTAATTCAACATCTAACACCGACAAAATCCCTCCAGATTCAACCTTTCTGAAGTGACAACTCTCGGATTCTCAAATTCGACACCGTAGAAAAGGC